CTCTCTCTCTGTCTAATTCACTGTCTGTCACGAGGCTATAGAAATTACTTGATGATGTTTTCAAAGTGAAAGGTATATGTAGATCGATAAAACATCCTACGTTCCCGTTTTTCCCTGAATCTTTGTCTTCTATGCTAATCATTGTAACAACCGTGTTTAAGTGTGCATCCTCTGATATTACAGTGGATTTTGACATAATTTTGATTTCAGGACTGTTGTCGTTGTTATCTTGAACATCGACAATTAATTTACAGGAATCGGTTAGCCCTCCCTCGTCACTAGCAAGTAAATCTATTTGATAATCTCGTGACTCTTCAAAATCAATATTTCCAATCAAAGTTACTTCACCTGTTTCCTGATTTATATGGAATAGATTTCTTACATCGTCTAACGTGTTTGTTATCGAATAGGTTACTTTCCCGTTTGCTCCATAATCTGCATCTGATGCAGTAACGGTAGCAACGACAGTGCCTGTAGGTGAATTCTCTGTAACTGTAGCTTTGTATGTTTTCTGTGTAAAAACCGGAGCATTATCATTAGCGTCTAAAACCGTGACGACAATCAGCATTGTTCCGGACATCTGCGGCTCTCCTCCATCTACAGCCGTTAGCACGAGAGATATCTGCTCTTCTTTCTCTCTGTCTAAAGGCTTCTGTAAAACCATCTCAACGTTTTTATTGCCATCTGCGTTATTCTTTAAACTCAAAGCAAAATTGTCGGTTGGTTTTAATTGATAGCTCTTAAGATTGTTAATTCCTACATCAAGATCCACAGCTCGCTCTAGCACAAATTTAGCTCCGATAACCGCTGATTCACTAATTTTAAATCGCGTTTCTTTCTTTTCAAATGTTGGTGCATTGTCATTGATATCCATGATCTGAACTGTGACTGTGTAGAATTCCATCGGATTCTCTAAAATGATTTGAAAATGTAAAGCACACGGCGTGGTCTTTTTGCAAAGCGCCTCTCTGTCGATTCTCTCTTTAACAAGGAGGACTCCTCTCTCTCTGTTCAGCTCGACATATACGTTGCTTTCTCGTGTAAAGATTCGAGCTTTTCCAGATGCCAAACGTTTCATTTGTAAACCCAAATCATGCGCAATGTTACCTACTAAAGATCCTTTGGCCATTTCCTCGGGAATATTATAGCTCACTTGCCCAAGCACCGTTCCGAGGAAAAGGACAGGAAAGACCAACGTTACTTGCCTTTTCATTGTTCTATCCGATTAATGTCACAGCAGACCTCTTTACGTGTATATCCGGTAACACTGACGTCCACAGCAATATCATTCATAATATTCCGGAGTGCATTATTAAAAAAGCGAAAACCTCGAAAGTCAGTGTATTATTTCCAAATATCTTGCGTGACTGACGCTGTTTTTTGCACTGCCGTCGTCTCTCTTTATCCTGCCGATGTTACAGGGGAGGTGCTGGTGTAAACATCTCTGAACAGACTCTGGTCAATAGCGGCCCTCAGAGTTCATATCGCAAAACTACAGAGTGCATTTGAAGGGAACCTTTTGCCACAACATCCTATTTAAAAACGTGTGTGCTTTGAATTAAAACTTTTAAAATTTCATTGATTTAAAATTTTCAAATAAGGTTAATACACCATCTTCAAACCCATGTCTCAGAGACTCATAGTTTGACTGAATCCAATTAATTGATGGAGAAAAAGATCTTTAAACAGTTTGTTTTCTAAAGATTTTTCAACTGAAGCACAAAACAAAGTACGATGCAATTCGAATTGTTAAAAACAAAAGAGCTAACAATCGAAAATTATTCATATATTTCAATGAATGATTCAGAAAAAATCGGAATATATCAGACGATCCTTCAACTTTAAAACATCTCTGTCCAACGTCCTGAAATTGAACACCGAGTTTTAAATTAGTTTTTCTTCATGTTGCTTAAGACAACATATGTTCATGCGCCACATAGTTTTTTCCGTCAAAAAACAGAATATAGATGTATTGTAAGATGTCTGTGAAGATTATATGGAAGTCAACCTTAAAGTTCCAATACGAAGGGAAATAAAAATAAAAAATAAAAAAAATAACTCGGGAAAAAAGCACAAATACTTGTATGCAATTAGAATTTTACATCACACAATCCATAAAAAGTTTCAAAACGCTCTAACCTCTATGGGAGAGTCTGGTTCATCCAGGATGCTCTTCTTACTATGCATCCGCTG